AAACACAAAAAGAAAACATGCAGAGGGTGGAAGCAAGGGTGGGTAACCTGGAAGGAATAAAGAGACACAGTTCAAGCACGCAGAAACACGGTTAAGAAAGCCGAAGTCCACCTGGAATTTGATCCATTCAGGGATGTGACCAAGAAAGGCTTCTATACATACATAACAGACAAAAGGAATGGAAGGCTAGGGAAAATGTGGGCCCACTGCTGAAGGAGACAGGGTTCATGGTTACACAAGACATGGAAAAGCCTGAGATACTGAATGCCACCCTTGCCTCAGTCTTTACTAGCAAAACTGGCCTTCAAGAATCCCAGGTCCCAGAGACCAGGTGAAACTCTGGAGCAAGGAAGAAGCACCCTTGGTGGAAGAGGATCAGGTCAGGGAGTACTTAAGTAAATTGAACGTACATAAGTCCACAGGCCTTATAGGATGCACCCCTGAGTGCTGAGGGAGCCGACAGATGTCATTGTGAGGCCACTCTTGATAATCTTTTGTTGATCATGACAACTGTGAGAAGTACCAGAGGACTAGAGAAAAAATGTCACTCTTCTCTTCAAAGGAGGACGAACCAGGGAACTACAGGCTAGTCAGCCTCACCTTGATCCCTGGGAAAGTGATAAAGCAGCTAATCCTAGAAACCATTTCCAGGCACAGGAAGGACAAGGAAGTCATCAGGAGTAGTCAGCATAGATTCACCAGGGGTAAGTAGTGCTTGACCAACTTCTATGATGAAGTGACTGGCTTGGTAGGCAAGGGGAGAGCAGTGGACATTGTCTACCCAGACTTTTGACACCCTCTCCCATAAAGTTCTCATAGACAAGCTGATGAAGTATGGGCTGGATGAACAGATAGTGAAGCAGATTGAAAACTGTCTGAACAGCCTGGCGCAGAGGGTAGCTATCATTAGCACAATTTAGCTGGAGGCCAGTAACTAGCAGTTTATCCCAAGGGTCAGTACTGGGTCCAGTCCTGTTCAAGACCTTCAATAATGACCTGGATGATGGGACAGAGTGCACCACCAGCAAACTTGCTGATGACACAAAACTAGAAGGCATGGCTGATACACCTGAGGGTCATGCTGCCATCCAGAGGGACCTTGACAGGATGGAAAAATGGGCTGGTAGGACCCCATGAAGTTCAACAAGAAGTGCAAAGTCCTACACTTGGGGAGGAAAATCCCCATGCACCAATACGAGCAAGGAAGAAGCACCCTTGGTGGAAGAGGATCGGGTCAGGGAGTACTTAAGTAGGACCCCATGAAGTTCAACAAGAAGTGCGAAGTCCTACACTTGGGGAGGAAAATCCCCACGCACCAATACATGCTGGGGGTCACCTGGCTTGAAAGGACCCTGGGGATGTGCTGCTGGGCAATAAGTTGAACATGAACATGAGCCAGCAATGTGCCCTTGTGGCAAAGACGACTAACAGCATACTGGGCTGCGTTAGGCAAAGTATTGCCAGCAAGGCAAGGGAGATGATCCTTCCTCTCTACTCAGCACTGCTGAGGCCACACCTGGAGTGCTCAGTCCAGGTCTGGGCTCCCCAGTACAAGCGATATGAATCTACTGGAGAGAGCACAATGAAAGGCTGCAAAGATGATGAAGAGTCTGGAGTGTTTTTTCTGTGAGGAAAGGCTGAGAGAGCTGGGACTGTTCAGACTGGAGAAGGCGGCTGAGGTGGGATCTCATCAATATATATAAATACCTCAAGGGAGGGTGCAAAGAGGACAGATCCAGTCTCTCTTCAGCAATGCCCAGTGGTGGTACCAGAGGCAATAAGCACAGACACACATAGGAGGCTCTGTCTGAAGATCAAGCAGGTGGCCCTTCTTGAGCAGGGGAGGGTGGACAAGATCACCTCCAGATGTCCCTTCCAAACTCAACCATTCTGTGATTCTGGGAAAGTTATGGCTGGATTTTGAGAGAACATGGACAAGTTGTATAGCCATAACATCAGCACTCTCCTTCAGGTGACTCAACCCATAATAAGTTTAATAGGTCTATGTTAGAAAAAACAGGAAAAGTAGAAAGAAAACCAAATAATTTTGTCTTTTATCTGTCAAGATGAGCAGTTATAAGCCAGTATTGCACTGCCACCAGGTCCTAATTTTATTTCATGTTTAACAACCCTCAGCGTAGTGCAGTGGAACACTAAGCAGTCACAATACCTCACTTCTGTGACACAAGCAAGTAGTGAGCTTGGAAAAAAAAAAAGCAAAAACCAACCCCCAACCAAAAACCAACCACACCCCCTCCACATATTGGTGTGGTTTATCCTGGTGAACAGTCACCACAGATCAGTGTAATTTCTTTGTCTTTATCACCAAAAGTCAGATTGAGGAATAGCCGTATAGGCATGCCCTCCAGACACACAACCTTCACTTCAGACCATTACAAGACACATCTGTGACTCCTATGTTTTTGTACACTGAACAGTTTTGGAAGAATGCATTAGTAATCCAGATCCTCTACCTCCTCCTGCAAGATGGGAGGACAGCAATAAGGTGAGAAAAGGATAGAAGGGAAGACACAGAGGATATGTAGGCACGAAGCTGGAGTACAGCCTTTCCATTCTCATGATTTTTTTTGCTAGATGGTACTTAATAACCATGCCAGCACACTTCAAAGACCAAATGCAAGAAAAACACAAAGTATTTAGTGACATAGGACTTCAAAGGGTATGCACTGAAAACAGCTATTCAAATCACTGCTCACACTGAGGAATTACCTCAGCTGATGGGTTAAATTTAGGCCAGGTTATGTAATATCTTAGAGACCTGTTCCAAACACATAAAGAAGGAATTAACATATGAAGCATTGCACCTTCAAGTTCTTGAACTTGGTTATGGAACAATTTTCTTTTACTTGGAGTTGGACATAGCATCTGTGAGTCAGATTCCAACAGCTGTGTTAACTTGGACAACACTTCTGCTTTGATGCGAGAGGAGCTCTTGAAGTAGTATCCTATGAAGAAATAAGCTTTCAGATGAGCATGTGGTGGAAAAAGAATCCCAATACATCTTTCTCATGACATTAGTGCGGCCATAAATGGTTTTAGTACTTCATGAGGAATTTTAGTCTCCAAAGCCTTCCACTGTTGCACTTTCGTGCCAGGGAATAACTTCTACAAACAGAGAAGCATTTTCCCCTGCGCTGTCCTACCACTTATCTAATGTGAGTTACATCAGGCTTTCAAAGCTTTCCAAAAGTGAAGTGCCTCAGGAAATACTCAGGATCATCACTGTCACAGGAGACAATAAGCAATTCCATCACAGGATCATTTGAGTGGGAAACTGTATTGCTGAAATACATGAAACCGACTAATTTACCAAGTGTTACTTCTCAAACCATTGAGTATGGAGGTTTTGTTTTCTAGCATAATGAGACATGATTTCTTAGAATTTCTTCAATTCTTTAACTTCTGTCTTAATACTAAAAAATTCAGATTTGCTCTAAAGTTTAAGCAATTTTTTTCTATGAGTGTTACATACCAATATTTAGATTCATCCAGCATGATTAAATAGCTGGCTCTCTGCTTAACCTAAGCAGAGGAAGCATTGAAATGAATGAAAACAGTGTTTGGAATACTAATTATTTTAAATCAATTGGTATGCCTTTCATGGCTTGTTTGTATAATGAAAAGTTCAACACTACAGAGCACATAAGAGAGACAGAGCTTTTTTGACAATGTAGAGTTTGAAAAAATATCATGGAATCCTGGGTTGGAAGGGACCTCAAGGATCATCTGGCCCAACCTTTCTAGGCAAGAGCACAGTCTAGACAAGATGGCCCAGCACCCTGTCCAGCTGAGTCTTAAAAGTGTCCAATGTGACAAAGTCCACCAGTTCCCTGGGGAGATTATTCCAATGGTTGACTGCTCTCATTGTGAAAAATTTCCCTCTAACATCCAATCAGAATCTCCCCAAGAGCAACTTATGTCCATTCCCCCTTGTCCTCTCCATGTGACTCCTTGTCAAAAAGGAGTCTCCATCTTTCTCATAGCTACCCCTTAGGTACTGGTACATGGTGATAAGATCCCCTCTAAGCCTCCTTTTCTCTAGGCTGAACAAACCCAGTTCTTTCAGCCTGTCCTTGTATGGCAGGCTTCCCAGTTCTTGGATCATCTTGGTGGCCCTTCTCTGGACTCCCTCCAGCCCATCCACATCTTTTTTGTATAGCGGGGACCAGGACTGTACACAGTATTCCAGGGGTTGCCTGACATGCGCTGAGTAGAGTGGGATAATGGCTTTTTCTCTGCTGGTGATGCCCTTGTTGACGCAACCCAGCGTCTTATTGGCCTTCTTGGCCTGGTGTCCACTAGGACCCCCAGGTCCCTTTCCACAGAGCTGCTCTCCAGCCAGGTGGATCCCAGTCTGTGCTGCATTATGTTTTCCTAGGTGTTAAGACCTTACACTTGTCCATGTTGAACTTCATAAGGTTCTTGTTAGCCCACTCTTCCAGCCTATCCAGATTGCTTAGAAACTGCAAGTGATAGCCTTTGTGCTCAGGCATATAGGACACCAAATACATGAATGTCAATTAAAATTAGTTGTAAGAAGAGATATGATTTATTTTTTTGATAATGTGCCATGACTTGTATCTGCTTGAGCTAAGAGGCAAGAGTCATTTCAGAAGCATTACCAAAATCCTTATTCTGAACATCTTCAAGCAGCACATTCACGGAAAGAAATGCTTCTTGACAGGGACATATATTTTATTGGACAAAATGTAGATGATCCTCCTAGAAAGGACTGCAATACTGGAATGTTGCATTATTGTAAGCTAATAAAGTTCGGGGGAAAAGATGAAGAGGAAAACATTGAATGTTCCTGAGCTTTTACTATTGGTAAAGTGGTATCTAGCATGTCCTTACGTCAGCTGAGCACACTACAGTGAGCACTGTCAATTCCTTTTATTCCTCAGCTTGTCAAAAGAAACAGCCCTCGACATCTGAGTCATTGCTCCACATCCTGCCCTGCTTTGGCACTTCCTCATTCAAGGCAGAGGCTCCTCGCTGCAGAACATTTGAATCTCAGGACATTCAGACAGGACACTGAGAGATTCCACTCAGGTAAGAACGAGATCAAATTTTCTACATTGTACTAGAAAGTGCTAAAACTGCAGTACCTTGGCTATGCCTTTTTAGCCAAGGTCTTTTACAACTGCTTTGGATTATGTGAGCAGGGGAAAAATGAAAAAGAAACAAACAATCTGTATTTAGTTTGGTTGGTGGATGGTTTGTTTTTTGGTTTGGGTTTTTTTTTTTTTTTTCTTTGTCATAAGCAGCAGCTTGCTGGAGAGGAAAAAAATACAGATTGAGGGGTTTCCCAGTTAAAACGTTTCGGCTCTGTAACTCTGTTCCCCTTCACTGGCTGCCAGCCAGCATGCACTTAGACTGCAAAATGAGAAGTGAGGCTAAGGCTACTGGTAAAACAAAAGGCAGCTTTCACAGCTTTCACCTGACACCCCAAAAGGCATCTCCAACTAATTTACTCAGTGAGTACAGTTTTGCCCCTATTTCTGCTCTTTATCTTTTTGCTTTTCTTTAGTCGTTGAACTGACACACCGACAGAGGCAACCGAAGAGAGAGTTTCGGTTTAGAGAAGTTCAGAGAACAAATGCTAGGCTAAAAATAATCATTCATATCTACTGCCTCCTGATGTCAGCTAAGTAAGAGAAAAGGCTTAGACAAGACGTTCTGCATACCAGTCACACCAAAAAAAACCAAACCCCATGTAACTTCTCAGGTTCTGAATGGTCACTGTTTACAAACAGAGTGCATAACAGCAGCTAAAGCCCCCTGCGCGAGGAAGGTAAGGAGTCCTGTTGTGCCGAGCAGCGTGCAGACAATCGCAAAGTCAGTGCAGCACAAAACCCGAGGTCTCAGTTTGCAGCCAGTGAAAAAAAGAAAGAGGGAAAGCAACTGCACAGGAGTATTTGCTCAAGTCGTGAGTCACCACGGTTTCTGTGGACTTTGAAAAAGAAGAGAACAAGATACCGTTGCACAAGTAGGTTTCAGAAAAACTTTGACTTTTGATGGAAGGTTTCTATTAGACGAATTTAAAAAAAAATAAACCCCACAACCACAGATGTACATAGCAGTCCATACAGCAGGGCATTTAAAACAACTTTCATTGATGACAATGAAAACAAGATTTCATTGATGTATACTATATTCAGACTGATCTTTTGGCTGAAGTCACCACTTCTTGACATTTTGTCTGCCAGAGAAGATATTCTGGGGCAGGGGGGAAACTGGAAGAATATTTTACTCTTCAAAAGAAAGAAAAACCCTGTATGTTATTTAAAAAAAAAAAAAAAAAAAAGAAAAAGAAAAAACAAGAACACACAACAATGCAGTCAACTCTAAGGGCCTTATCATCGTAGATGTCATCTACGGCTTACTGCTAGCATAGGAACGACACGGACCTGTTGGATCAGGTCCAGAGGAAGGTCACAAAAATGGTCAGTGGGCTGGAGCACCTCTCTGACAAAGGTTGAGATAGTTGCGGTTGTTCAGCCTGGAGAAGAGAAGGCTCTAGGGACGCTGTATTGTGGCTCTCCAGTACTTAAAGGGGGCTTATAAGAAAGATGGAAAGAAACTTTTCGCAGGGGCATGTAGCAACAGGACAAGGGGCAATGGTTTTAAACTGAAAGATGGTAGATTTAGGTTGAACATAAGAAAGATTTTTATGATGAGGGTGGTGAGAGACTGAAAGAAGTTGTGGATACCTGGAAGTGTTCAAGGTCAGGTTGGATGAGGCTTTAAACAACCAACTCTAGTGGAAGATGTCCCTGGCCATGACAGGGGGGTTGGACTAAATGATTTTTAAGGGCCCCTTCCAACCCATTCTATGCTTTTATGATTAGTATTTGAGAATCCTTTGAAAGAGTTGAGCTGGTTTCCATCTCTCACACCCCCAGTTACATTCCTTTTCTGAACTGTGTTACAGCTTTCCCTTCCACTCAGGACAAGGAGCCTATAGAGGCAACCTCCCCATATGGAATCCGAGCATTCCTAAACATACACAGAAGGTGGCAGTCCAGTCCAGGTGACAGGACACTGCCGGTACATGTCAGTGGCCAGAGCTTTGTTTCACCAGGTGAGAGAAAGGAGGAGAGGAAAAAAGCCTCTGAACAATGAGATGTTTTCTTCCATAGTCCATTAAATATACATACACACATGTACTGAATGTGAATACACACTCAGTGAAATATTTCACTGAGCACTGGCAATTCTCAGAGGCACGTGGGGGTGTATGTGCATTGCAGATGTACCTGCAGTCAGATTTTTCAAAGCAGCCTGAGCCTCAGCGACTTCCACTCATTGATTTCAGTTCACATCCGTCCGTATGTCTTTAAAACGGCACCTCAGCACTTTGGGCACATCTTAACCGCATGGCAAGGTGTGGTGCAGAGGTGCCTGTGCTGACAGGGCCTGGAGAATTGCTGCTGCCTGCGTGAAGCATTGCACTGGCATGAATTCCCCATGTTGATGGGGAGTTACTAATTGTGGCTCTCCACCACACTCAGAGGGCTCTGCTGCTCCTGGCCTGGGAGAGGAGCTCAGATAAGCATGGCCTTGGGCTGCATGGGCACCCTCAGCTGCTCAACCTCAGCCTGAGGCATCCATATATCATCACTATGGTGGATAGCAGAGGCATACCAGAACTCACACTGGCTTGGGTTTTTGACTGGGTTTATTGCTGGGGTGGGGTAGAAAGGACCTGTTTTTAATGGTGGGGGGTTTTTTTGTTTTCTTTGGGTATTTTTCTTTAAGTTTTCCTTCCTGTTCATGGAATACTGAACAAATAATACTACACCCACCTTCAGCATCACTGAGAGGTTTCATGGCTGTAGCTAATTCTGGATTGGTTATTCTCTCAGCTGCCTTTCCCTCTATTGTCTCTGGATTTTCTTTTTTGTAAACGCCAATTTCAACTGCCAGACTTTTCTACCAGTCCATCCCTATGCTAGTTGCTAAAGTCGTTTGTAACAGAAAAAAATAAATTGCTGGTACTAGGACAGTGTCTTCAAGGAGGTGCCCAGTAAGACCGAAAGAAGAAAGTGTGTAGTCCTTAATCATGATCTGTTTCAAGATGCCTGCCAAGTAAGGGAGGAGGGGTGAAGAAAATTAAAAAAAAAAAACAAAACACAAATCAGAGAAAATATAGTCTATTCTAGAAAGACTAGAAGATATAAAAGTCCTAAACTGCAGAGATCTCCAAGTGCCAATCAGCCCCTAGGAATGCAGAGTGCTCAGAACAATTCTGCTTCCCCAGCACAACAGTTTAAGAACAATAAATACATAGCTAGCTCAACGACTCCAAGCTAGACAGTTTCCAGACATGGAAGGCTTTCTTTGACTTTGTGCATGTAAGAAGTTGCATAACTTAACAAGGGATGTGACTGCATTCTAAGTTCAATTAAGATTTCCTAACATCCCAGAGCCAACAGTCTTAAAGCCAAACTTTTTTTTAATCTGCTATCTGTGGGTTACCACTTTCTGGTTTTTGCTTTTAAAAAAACCACAGGAAAAAATTCCCTCGTGCATAGCAGAGAGGTTCAACCCACCACAGCTTTTCTAGTTACAAGCATAACAGCACCTTTCGCAACACATACTACTTCAGTTCAGCCACTGTCACAGAGTGTCCACCTCTTTGCAGGTGTGTGGTAGAGGGAAGCCCTTGAACCCATGCTGTCACCCTTGTGCCTCACTAAGCTTTCTGCATAAGCTCCAGCAAGTGTTGTCCACATAAGATTTGCTTTACCACATCCTTTAGACCCTTTACCCTTAGTGTAAGTGAAGGTGGCTCACAGCTATGCCTCTTCAGCAAGAGACTTGCTCTGTTAGCAGACAGGACAATGCATAAGACTTCAAGAGGAGTAAAGTGCTATTTGCACAGGTCTACCAAGGTGTCAGAAGCTAACACCAAAACCTACGACTACAGCATCCATATAGCAATATACCCCTGGAAAGAAGAATTAGCCAACACACCCACCAGTCCACCTACTGAGCACCACAGGCATTAACACAGGCTAATGGTAAGAGCACTCAGTAGCATCCCAAAAGAGCACCCACAGTGAGTAAAGCCACAGGACTTAATGTCATTTGCAAGGATTTGTTAAGTATTTTAGTTTTGGTTACTGCAGTTTACCAAAGTTTCACTCCAAACTCACTTTTGTTCTGTAAATGAGGAGTGCCGGTGACTGATGTAATTTAGCTTTTGCTTGGTGTAGTTGAAGAGTGCAAGATTTATGAAGAGTGGGGAGGATGGAGAAAACAGGCAAATTATTCATCCAGAAAACATTAGGGTTTTTTAATTTTTAAAATTATTTCTACAACCAAGTTTTGCACGCAGATATTCCCCTCTCACACCTCCTTGTGCATATATTAATGTGCAGTTTTCAGGATTATTTTATTTCACTTACAATTTCCTTTCTGCTGGAAAGACTAGGAACAGTGAGATGAAGATGACTGCTATTTGCTTGATTTTTTTTTTCTCCTCAGTTTATGAATAAATTAGTTGTCGAGTCCAAATGTATTTCTCAACTAAGTGCGTTTGAAGTATAATCTCTTCACCCCGGCTTCCCAGATGTTGTTTCCCAACATCAGAGTTTGTGTTCCACATTGCCATGTGCTTAAGTTCTGAACCAGAAGGTTTTATAAAAGCAAACTTCCTTTTCAGCTTTCTCAGCAGCCTTGCCTGAGCAAGGTCAACTGTCACCACAGTTAGAGAGCTACCTGAGCTAGAGCCAAGAAGATTCTTGCCATCGTTCCTGAAAAGAGGATTGTTTTATTTTTACATTAGGAAAGGAAAAAACATCCAGAACTCCCTAATGCTGCCCTTGCTGAGGCAGCCCAGCTTAAACTTGTTTGGTTTTTTAAAGAGTAGATTTACAGGGTCTATAAGGAGTTGTTGCATTTTGCCTTCGGCATCCTTGCATGCACGCAAGCTGACTACATGTGTACATCTGCAGACTCAGCACGTTCCAGGCACCCAGCTTTAGAGGGGCTGGCGTGGTCTTTTTCTTCCCCGTTACAGCAAACAAACAGTGCAGACAACACTGAACTGCATGCAAAGCACGCTTACCTTGCAGTTACTCTCTCTTGCGGTTACCATAAGCTCTCACGTCCTGAAAGGGGACAATTTCCTCTTACCCAAATGCACTTTGCTATCCAAAGAAGGATGTATCTCTTGAATAGCTATGATAAAGAATCTGCCTAATAGCCACATTCCCCCCCTCCACCCACCAGAAACACACATTTAGCTCTTTCAAGAAAAAAAAAAAAAAAAAAAAAAAAAAAAAGATGCTCAGCAGCATTTGTGAAACCCAAGAGATGAGAGGAGACAGGGACAGAGAGCGTCACCACTTTTCCAGCTCTAGCACATATCCAGCAAGGGCCATTCTGTAGCTAATTCACTCCCATGCACTCCTTGCTCAATCGCCCATAGCAATGCTTCTGACTACTCAGCCTGCAAGTTAAGTTTTCCTTGCAGCTGGCAGAATTACAGCTAGCTGTACACACAAGCTGCTGCCCACTCCAACTCCTGCACTGCCACATGCTGCTAGTCTGTTAGCAAAATGCACAGCAGTGGCTTAAAAGCTGGCTCAGACATCTGCACATCCTGCAACAACTGCATTGGAGTTCTATTTCCCAGAGATTTTTGAAAGCAGAGCATGACCCTGTAGGAATTAGAGGCTCCTTTGCACTAGGATCTATAAAGTAAAAGCTCTTAGAGCTTCTGCTGTCTCCTATAGCAAAGTTTGCATTCTTTTACAGAGTGATTTTTTTGTTGTTTGAGATAAGGAAGGAATCTTTCCTGACAAGAGAGATTGCAACAGCATGTAGTTGAGAGGATGGGAGTGAGAGATCCCTGGAGTATCCATGCTGTGCTGCATCTCTTGTACCTTCCAAGTCCCCTGCTGGGATAGAGGGAGGGAAAAAAAATTTAAAACTTTGAAGCTAAAAGGTTTCTCTGGAAAGGTCTCCTGTACAAGACAGGCTAGAAAATAGCTGTGCCAAGCTAGTGAGTCAGGGCTCAGCATTTCATCTGTGACTAAAACTCATGTAAGTCCCTACATTATAACACTCATTGTACTACCTCTTCCCCCATTTCTTTGCTTCTCACAGAGGAATGAGGCAGAAAAGACCACATTCATTTATACTAGAGCATTCTCATCCACCCAATAAGTATATTCTGGGGAAACCTAACTCCATCAACAGCTCTTGGCCTCCAGTTAGGGTCTATAAGGCCAAGGAAAGCAGCAACACCTTGCTGAGCACAAACTCCTATGGCACCAGGATGTGGCTGCACTACAGTCTGGATGAAGCCTTAATATTCTCAAACAAAGCAAAATGCCTGATTAAAGAGATAGCAGGGTTGTATGGAAGGTCTGGCTGGGGGGGGGGATCTTCGAATTTCCTCATGGGAAGCTTCTGTCCTCAAAGATTATCCTCCACAGAATTAACTTCACCCTTTGAGTACCTCACTAAAGCTACAAGTTTCATGGTGGTCATGGTATGAAGCCACTATATTCATTTACAGGTATTTTCAGCTGTGAAAGCAGCATTCAGAAGTTGAACATCTTGATTCAGATGTAAAGTGACATGCACAAGCTGATCTAAGTCAGTGCAACTCTACTGGCTTTTCATGGTTGGCAGTGTGCCCCTACCTCACCCCAACTACTAATCTGTTCTACATCTCAGAAGGGAAAGAAGGATCCAAGTTAGGATAGCTTTGATTAAAATTCAGTTTTCTTGTCTTGGTTCTCATTTTCCCCTCACTTTTCTTCTGTGTTGAGCAAGGTATAAACAAGTTTCTACCCAGAAATAATCCTTGTGTCAAGGGTCTTCTCCAGGTGGTATAAAAGTGCTACTTCAGCTCCAATCCTTCTTGCATTTGCAGCCCATGGTACAGGAGATTTTGGGGTGGGGCAGCTGTAAGACATCGGGCACAGGTGAGGTAACACAAATCATGGCTAAGACCACCATCAGCTCACTGCCAGCAAGGTGCAGATCAGAGACACCCCATGAGTCTTTAAGGCAGGGCAAGTATTTCATCTCAGGTGGCTCCAGAGCCTGGGGGAGCTGAAAGGC